TACTACTTACTTATATATATATATATATATATATATATATATATATAAAGTTGTATATAATTATATCTAATTATATATGGAAAATTTTTTCCGAACCGGGCTTTATCTTTTTCAATTCTTAGAATTAAAAGAAAGTAAAAAGTGAGTTAAACTGACGATAAGATTAATTTTACATTCATAAAAATGGACGTAAGTTACAAATTATTTCAATTTTTATCAACATACATGCAATGTATGATATTTTCAAACCTGTTACTAAAGTCCTAAAAGATATATGAAAAGATAAGATTATGAAATTATTACAGAATGAATTTCGATCGGAATTTTATCTTTAGAAAGATAAAAAGAAAAATGAAGTAAATAGCATTTAGGAGATAAATGAACAATTCTGTTTGAATTGATTTTATAATACGTGTCGATCTTACTGAAAATTCCTATTGAAAATTCCTACTGAAAATTCCGTTTGACAATCACACAATTAAAAAGATTAAAAGTATAAGATTCATTTGTCCAATAGAATTTTATATTTTCATCATTGTATAACGCTTGTTTGCTTAAATAAATTGCAATTTTAAGTCGGATTTAAGGTTAAAATATTTTAGATTTAAAATATTTTAGGTTAAAATATTTTATATGAATCAAGCAAATTAAAAAGTTTATAGATTAATTGGGGTTAACATCAATTGATCTTGTTAATACGATTGACCTTAAAGATCCATTTGTTTTAATCGTACATTTTTATAGTTTTAGCATTTTTAAGCTACGTCTTTATAAGATCGTCTTAAGTCGATTTTAAAATGATTTTAAATCCGAAGTGAAACCCAATAAAATAACCGATAACATCTCAAAATCATAATTAAAAATAATTTTGACTAAATTCTAATTAATTAATTTATATTTATTTTTATTAATGTAAATTAACTTTTACTTCGATTTAATTTACTTTTACTCTTTTTTTAATTTTAAAAGTTAGGAAACGATAAAGGTAAATTAAATCGAGATTAAAATTAATAGTCATTAATCGACTATTAAGCTTCAAATAATACATCAAATAATACGTTATATTAATTACTTTTGTAACACAGATAAAATATTATTGTTTTTCTTATTGTATTTTGTTATAATTTTTTTATGTTATTGAATTTTTTATTACTCGATATATGGAAAGAGAAAGAAACTTTCAAAAACAAATTGGGAATTTTGGCGCGTCCATAGTGTGGTGCAAGAGTGCGTTCAGAAATAACACCTGAATACACTCAGCTATTATTTTATCCTTGTTTAACATTTGATAAAAAACAAGGATGAAATGATATCCAGTATATGATCCAGTATTTTTTCCCTAACCCAGAAAACGGCGAACGGAAAAGTTACCGCTGTAGTATCCGCGTCTCGTGGCGTCTCGCCGGTCTCGCCGAGTCTACCCGAAGGAAAGACGAATCAGACGGTACGTCAGTGAGGGGGGGGGGGGAGGTACGAGCAGATGCCCTCACTGCTAGTTCGCGGCTTTCAGGAAGCGAGCGTGCATATTGGAGTGACATGGCTACGAATATCTCAGAGGAAATCGAGGTATTTCATTGCGCGTGAATGCGACGGATGTGATGTTGCGCGAAAATGCCAATCCCGTCCGCGAATCGCGGCGAGACGGAATTCTGTCCCGCTTCACGACAACGGCAATTCCTCCTATCGCGATCCTTTCCATATCCTTCTCCCTCCGCGTCCTCCTTCCTCTTCCTCCATCGCGTTACCGAATGTCGTGTGTCCTAGAGCTTTCACGACGCTTTTATGCTCATGGACAAAAAAAAAAAAAAGGAGTATCTCGCCGTGGCACCGTCGCCCATGTCGATCTATAAATAATCGGCGTTACCGGAAACGCAACGCGGCATCCGCGAAGGATGGCGTTATAGGATCGCGACCGGCGTGACAATGCGTGCGACGGCACACACGATCTGTCTCGTATAGGTTAACACGACCACGCGTAAGGTCGCTCACAGCTCCAGAATTAACGCGGATGCGGAAAAATCCCACGCGATTTTCCACGATTTTCCACGAATCGATTAAACAACGACGTAAACTCATCTTTTTCTCAGGAAATCGATCGAAAGCAGAATACGGAAGTGGCGAATATCAGCGAATTTCCACCCGAATTCCTGATTAAACATCCATTGCAAAATACCTGGACTTTATGGTATTATGAACCCGATAGGAATAAAACATGGGAAGAGAGTCAAAGGGAAATCACAAGCTTTGATACAGCTGAGGATTTCTGGAGGTAACTGTTTTCTTCTTTTTAATCTTTTTTTTTCTTAGTATGTAAAAAAAAAAACATTGTGAAATACGAATTACAGCGAAAAAAATTTTTTGTTATATGCAGCTTGTACAATCACATAAAGACAGCCTCCGAGTTAAGGCAAGGTAGTGACTATAGCATGTTTAAGCAAGGAATTCGGCCTATGTGGGAAGATGATCAGAATAAATGTGGTGGACGATGGTTAATAAATCTGGAAAAGAAGCAAAGAGCTACGGATCTAGACAATTTTTGGTTAGAAATTCTTCTCTGTATGATTGGGGAAGCCTTCAATGAATATTCCGATGATGTCTGTGGAGCTGTAGTAAATGTTAGGACGAAAGGAGACAAACTTGGTGTATGGACTTCAAATGCGGACTGTGCGGATAGTGTAATGGAAATTGGGTAAGGATTCGAAAAATATTCCTTTTTCTGTTGAATTTTTATTAAATTTGTCTATACATGCCACTTTTCCATTTTAGTCGCAAACTAAAGGAAAGATTAAGGATCACATCTAAAACAACTATGGGATATCAAGTACATAGAGATACTATGGTCAAAGCCGGCAGTCAAACAAAAAATACTTATACACTTTAAATATAGCTACATTCATAATATCATCCCTGAGTTGTTCATTAAAATATGTTAACGTCAAAAAAAATCGCCAGATCAGATATTAATCGTATAATTGTTTGGAAGTATCTCTTTGCATTATGTTGAAAGAAAGCATTAAATTTTGTTATTCAAAAGCATGTTATATCATCGTTGTAGTTCTGTTTTCATATTAACAGCAAAAATTAAGTAAAAAATCAATAAATCGTATATTAAAGTGAAATAAATTGATATATTATTAATATAGATAATATATTATTAATATAGGAATTTAATTTAAAGCACATGAAGTATATATAGTTTACAAACATAATTTATGAAAGATACGCGCAGGCTGCTGTATTTTTCCGTGGCTAACACAATTGTACGATTAGGATAAATTTATATGCTTAGATGTAAATTTTTGTGCAACTTTATTTTTCAAATAAATTCTTATAATACAGGTAGTAAGACATAAATTACAATTATATTCAAGAATTTCTTATACACAAAAGTATACTGGCATATGCTTACTACTTTTATTTATATTACCTAAGATTATATATTGATTTATCAATCATATATTGTCGAAACTTTTTCATTTCTAATTAAATTACATTTAATATCACATTTAATATAACTAGAATAAATATTAAAATCTTTAAAAGGAATAAATCTTAATGAAAAATCTTGTATCAATATATATCATAGATACTCTTTTTTCAATATTAATTCCTCTACAAGTTCCTTGAGATCTCTCCGTCTTCCTTTTTCTAAAGCGCGTATTAAGTTTATAGCCCATTGTTCTGTATCAGATTGTGACATATAAATTTTCAAAATCTACAAATAAACCATTTCAATGTCAAATTCAGTCCAAATTTTAATTTTAAATATATCTAGCTATATATACATATATACATACATATATATGTGTATGATTTTCATTACAAATATGTGATCTTACCTCGTAGCTTTGCTCCTTTAAATCATAAGGATATTTACTTTGTACAGCATCGATTTTACATTCTCTAATACCTAAATGTCTAGCTACATCACGCCAAGATCGACCCAATCTGTCCTTGATTTGTAACAATACTAAAAAAAAATATGTATATAAGAAAAATAAAAATATAAATCATAAAATATTGAAAATACCTGTTTCTTGCAAAGATTTTTTCTTATCAAGATTATTTTGGTCTTCTTGTTCAGGATTATGTGATGGCGTTGTGCTACTTTTGAATACATTAGCTGAACTTCCTATCGATGTCTGAGATAAATTATTCATAGAAATATCTGCAGGTTCACAGCTTGTTGATTCTGATACTAAAAATGATGCCAAAGATATTAAAAAATAATTTATTAGCTTATATTATCAAATCATTTATACCAAGTAATAGCAAAGTATAAACTAATTATAAACTATAAACTAAAGGGATATATTTTCAGAGATCTTTACTTTTACATCATTCCTATTTTTAATTGTATTAATTACATATTAATATATATGAACTAAGCTCTTTTTAACAGATTTGTTCAAATAAAATAAATTTTAAAGTATGCAATTAAAAAGTACTCACTTTCATTTCTTTGATACATATAACATGAAGGCAATAACGGTGTAGCTGATAACCAATTTTCATAATCAAATAATTTGCTTTCCAAATCAGGAAGACAGATATATTTTTTTGATATATACCACAGTGGTTCTATATTGCTATAACTGATAAGATCCCGCTTTTCCAATAGTCTTATAAACATTTTGAGATCCTTTATTTGACTTAATTTACGTTTCGAATCAATCTCATGTGCATAATTGAGTTTTAGTTCATCCAAGACATTATCGTTGATAAAAGGTTCAGCTATTCTAAGAAAATCTTGACGAAGCAGACTATATTTTTCCAGCATTTTGTTTTTGAATAAATTCAAGATTCAATTTGTCAAATTTGATCTCTGTGAAATATATGTATATAAATATAAGCATACACTTAAAAAAAATACATTAAACAGATATCATTATATGCCTAATATTTACGTTAAACATGCACAATTGGCTTTGTCACAAATTTTACAAACATTATATATTATATATTTTTATACTTTGTCTTCCTTAAAACTTACTAAACTGCTTAATTCTAATACAAGTCATACATTTCACAGTTAATTTGCTTACAAAATATTATTTATCAAATAAATAACTTATGTTTTTAATAAAATATACAATGCTTATGATATAATTACGTAAAACATGATTCTTCTTCTTCTATTTTGTTTGTACTTAATTGTCCTGGCAAGAACAATATGGTTAATTTCAAAAGTTAAAAATAGCAAATAACTCAATATAAATATCAAATCATCATCATCGATATCAAGGAACAAAACAGAAAAATAAAAGCATAATCGTCAATTTCAAAATTATGCAAGACGAAAAAAATACGGACTCCACCCGAAAGTTTCTAACAGAATCATAAAAAATGATTGTGAAATTCATATAAACTCAAAAAAAAAACCGGGAAGTCCAAAAAGAAATCAGTAGAAATTCCTATATATTCCTCAAACACGTTTATTTTGTCCTGTTTTTGCATTCATAAAACCATCTTTTTCATTCTTTCAGAGAGCTCTTTCACATTTTCTGCGCTTTCAGCTCTTTTTACACTCGAGTTCATTCCTTGTTCACAATACGAAATATCCACGTGATCATGGAAAATGAAAAGAAAGTGCAATATCTTATCGTTGATACAAGCGCTTTCATAAAGAATGCTGCGCTGCAGGTAATTATTATTTAAGAAGAATTTAAGAATATAAATATATACATACAAATAAATATGCAAATATTTTCAATTTTGAGGTTATATGTACAAATTTTGTGTTTTGTAAAAAAACTTCTAATCAATATATAATTTTAAATTATAATTAATTATATTATCTTCTCTTTCTAGTGAAATTTTAATAATTTTTATAAAAAAAATTTATTTTTACAGGATATCGGAGTTAATATTTTGACTGAACAAGCTGTCGTCGATGAAATCACAAGCAAAAGGCAATTGAGAAGATTGGTTGTATTACCATATGACTTAAAAGTTCAGGAGGTTTTCACTGAAAATATTAAATTTGGTAAGCAAATCTCTCAACATCTTTGACATAATGATATGCTTGAATATGATATGTGATTGTGTATAGCATATGATCATTATAATCAATCATTTTCTTATTTCAAATATTTCTTTTAGAGTTTAGACAATTTATTGTCATTGTGAGAAATAAAAACATCTTGTGTATCATACGTGCATGAAAATTGAAGTTATACATATACACTAATACTTATTTCTGTTATTAATATTAATATTTTTAATATATTTACAGTGACAGAATTTTCAAAGAAAAGTGGTGATTATACCAGTCTATCTGCTACTGACATTAAAGTAATTGCACTCACTTACCAGTTGGAAAAAGAGAAAGTGGGAACTGCATATTTGAAAGATGCTCCAACAATAAGAACTATTAAATCTACAGCAGATAAAGAAAATGGAGATGATCCTAAATTACCAGTTGGCTTTTATATGCCGAAGAAAAGAGTAAGACTTTCATAGATTTTTGTATATACATATATATATATATATTCATTTATCTTCATTTATCAATCTAAGTTTTATTTTATATATTAATATTTTATATATTAGGAAAGGAAGAATACAGAAAATAATAAAAATGTAGAGGCTTCCTTAAATAAAGTGGAAAGAAGAGATGTTATTGAAGAGAATATTACGCGTGTACAGATTATAAATGATTCTGCAGTAGATAATATAATAAATAATACGGAGAATCTGGAAAAATTCACTCATGAATCTGCATCTTCAGATGAGTCACAAGATTATGAAACAGCAGAATCAGACACTGAAGATAGTAAAACAGAAGATTTGGCTGATAAATTTTCCAAACTAAGGTGTGATCCAACAGATTTAGAGGTAGAAGGTGAAAGTGAGAGCAAGTGTGTTGTAGATGATATTCTTGCTCCTGTTGATACATCCGAAGATGAGCAAAGTGATGAGTCGATCGAAGATGAAGATGATGAAAATGACGATGATGGCGGTTGGATTACACCAGGTAAAGTTAATTTCATCAAGAAGTACTCATTTATTTGATTAAAATTAATATGTATGTGTAAGATATTAATTTTTAATAATTTCTCTTTTAAAAGCAAACATTTCTAATGTAAAAAAGCAAATGGATTCGGAAATTTTGGAAGAAAAAGCTGCGACTGTCGCGTGTTTAACAATGGACTTTGCGATGCAAAATGTACTCATGCAGATGGGATTAAACGTGGTTTCGTTGGACGGTAGAGTGATTAAACAAATGCGAACATTCATATTTAGATGTTACGCCTGTTTTAAGACTACTAGCATCATGACAAAGATTTTCTGCCCACACTGTGGTAACAAGACGTTGAAAAAAGTAGAAGTTACATTAGATGAAAATGGAAAACAACAAATTCATATCAATTTTCGGAAACCTCTCTCAGCCAAAGGAAAGAAGGTACGTTATATCACTTCCTAAAATAATAAATCTATAATCAAGATAAAAAATTAAAGTTGATGAAATTTTTCAGTTCTCGTTGCCAATGCCGAAAGGTGGAAAGCATGCCAACAATCCTATTTTATGCGAGGATCAACCGATGCCGGATCAACGTCCGTCACGTTTAGCCCGTATAAAAAATAATCCTCTCGACGATGATTACATAGCTGGGTATTCTCCATTTGTCATGCGCGATATAAATTCCAAATCGGCTATGTTGGGTATAAGACCCGATGGTGTTGTCAAATACTGGATGAAAAGAAATCCTAATGAATCTAAAAAAAGACGAAAATAAAAACAATTTTTTTGTTAAATCAATTGTTGTTATTTTGAGGATTTACAAATTCTTATCACGAATTATTCTAAATTAAGGCATTCATGAATTTAATATTATAGATTAAATTTTTACAATAACTTATTATGATTTACGTAATAAAAGTTTTATTTAATAATTATCACATCCTTTGTTTTTGCAACTTATCAAAAATTAAAAAAAAAGTAAGTCTGTAATATTATTTAATATAGTAATATAGGCAATATTCAACAAGAACAGGATTTTAGCGTTTTGAAAAAAACTTTTTTTTGTTTTTTAATTTATATGTAAATTTAAGATATAAATTCTATATTGTCAACTATGTATTATTTTTTTTAACGGATTTACAAAAATAAAATTCAAAAATTAAGATTGCAAAAATTTTATCAATATCGTCTGTATCATATTCTGGTTAATAAATAAAAAAAATAATGCCCCGGGTGAGGATCGAACTCACGACCTTAAGATTATGAGACTTACGCGCTGCCTACTGCGCTACCGAGGCTCTTGTGCCACTTACTATAAGTCTATCAATATTAGGCTAAAGCAGAAATTTGGATTAAATTAGGTTAGGTATACGAATAAGATAACCGCATGGCTATATTTTGTCTCTTTTCGCTACTATGAACGCTACTTTATTATTGATATATTTTTTAAAAATTAATATGTTCTACTATATAGTTTTATGATAAAGCAATTTGTCAAGTAAGTAATTAATTTTAATTCGTTTATTTTGCCGGATATTACCAAAAACTTAAAAAAAAGAAAATATGAAATATCTAAAATATAAATAAGATCAAAGTAATGATATGCAAATGATAATAATAAAAAGAACTTGTCATTAATATAAATCTAAATCATAATGCTTTGTTCCAGTAAGTACGAAAAACCGTAGTAGAAAGAAAAAAAGGAAGAACATGTTCTGCCCAGAAACATGGAATTTCAAACCACAACCACATCATAGTTCTATGAATGTGGTAGATTTCAGAAAGACAAGTATACCCACAGTGGTGAAGAATCATTATTTTAATCATTCAGTAAACTTATTAATTATTTCTTTCAAAATTTAATTTGTAAGATGATGTTTCGATAGCAATTCGTGTTTGTTATGTTGTTAGATATCCATAGTGCTTCCTGACACTGTTACTGTTCCTCAAAGTTTATACAATTGTCTATCAGAAGATACAGATTATTATCGAATAAATGAGTTATGTGTTAGTGATCTTTTAAATATAGAATTTATCGAGGCTTTTGTAAAGAAAGGTAAATTTATTAACTTCTTTTATGTATATATATATTTTTTTATAATTTTGTTTTATGTATTTATTAATATTTATATCTTAAATTTTAGGGGAAATTAATCTTTTGACAATAGAAAATAAAATAGACCTACAGAATTCTATTTGCGTTATTCCAACTGGATGCTTGATACTCTCTTTGCTAAAAGATGATTATGAAGGACTTGGTTTAGAAGGAAAGCCCTCTGTCTTTAGGCGCAAATTTCATACACGTTATAGTAAGTTTCAATAAGAAAAAAATAAATTCTATAATTACAATACATTATAATATTTTATATTCTATTTTAATTAGTACATATAACTTTCCATATAAATTTATTTCAAAAGTAGTGAGAATTGATCTAACAAATGAAAGTTTTGTTCCTGGTAAAAAGAATTATGAGAGAGTTCGAATAGCATTGAAAGAACGATTAAAACAAAAATTTGATGTTATAGTATCATGGGATTCGCCAGGTACACATTCTTCTGTTTTTCTTATAATATGTACAATGATAATATTCATATATGTTTTTCTTTTTCTTTATTTTTGTTAAAATTATTTAAATATTTCAGAAACCAAAGTGTGTCCATCATCTATAGCAGCATGGTTTCATGAACACAATTATACCGTTCGTCTTTGTCAACAGAAATTATCCCATAGAACTGAATACTCAGTATCGATACCTACTTATGAAGATAAATATGACATGAATGATATAAATTTCTTCGAATGGCTTGGCGTTTTCAGTATTGATGGTGATCTGTATGTTCACTCATATTTCAATGTAATTTTTCATGATGTTTGATAGAAGAACTGATAATAACTATAATATTTTTAGATCCACTAAAGAAGAGAATGATTATGTAAACACATATCAATGCCCTTCTCCTTCCATACATGTCGGACAAATACAATATTTACAATGGACCGGATTCTTTACGCGACAAAAGATACAAGAAGCGTATAATGCTTTAAAACAATATATATTATCACGAAATATCTTACCGTGGGTTAGTTTAAATGTGCAAGGATTTGCAGATAGCCCTATTAGTTTTGATTTAAAAGAAAACACATTTTTCATTGATGGAGATAACAGTTACACTATCATATTTCGATCGACAGGCGAAGCCGTTATACAGAAAAATTTGAGTATTAACAATAAGGTACGTTAGTAAATTTGTTAATATTATGTTATATTTTATATCAAATCTATCTCAGATTTTTTTCTTTAATCATGGCACTAAAATTGTGATAATATCTGCATTAAAACGATATATTTAAATTCCATATTGAACAAGGAATTGGATTGTAAGGAAAATGTTTAAAAATAAATTATTATACATTTACGAGATTCATATCATAATTTATTTTATCACGTAAAGAATAGTTGATAGCTATAAGTCATGCATTTGATTCGTATAATAAAATACCACCTTGTGTTAATATAAATGTGACAAGTAACGAATCAAGGGACAAGAGGTGCAATGAAAAATGAGAGACAAATAACATAGAAGGTATATGTATTTGATTATCTTCTAAAGAAAATGGAAAAGATTTATGTAGAAGTTATATATTCCTATATTTATTGCACAGTTTACTATATATAATATATAGATAAGAAAAAGTTACATATATATAATTCCATCCCTACTGTTACTCTAAATTATTATTTTCGGTCTTTTCATACACCACTTGTCTTTTTATTAACTGATATTAACAATATAAATACTACAAGAGACCTTTGAACTATAATGAATACTAATTTTAATCACATATACATTACACTATTTTAACTGCCTGAAGCCTATTACACAAGATAAAAGAGATCCGAACGGACTTAACACTATTATTTTGCAACATAATAGAACTGTATGCATCAGTGTAAAGCTGACGCTGATAAATAAATTAATATGTTAAAAAATAAAATTAATATGTTAAAAAAACATAAAAAAATAAAAGGCACTAAAATATTTGACTATGAGATCAAAGCCAGTCTATAATATGTATAATAAACTTCTCAGTTTAAGCAGGCATGTCTTTGTAAATAGTAGCAAACATTTCTTTTTACATCGAACATATAAGATATATCAAGGTAATGTAAAATATCCTAGGCATCTTTTAAAAATTAAGTCACATCTATATCAGAACATTTGAATTAATCTTCAGATTAGCACATGGGAACTATCAGAATCACTGAATTTCACTCTAGAATTATAATACAAATCTTCTATACCTGAACCGACGGACATGCGAGACTTAGAACGCGCCACAAGTTCGCCTATTTCGTCGAGATCTCTATACCTAAAATATAAATAATTAGTTTCTTACGCAATCGCGATCCATTTATTTAATATTATATTGACATATCCAATATTTGTGTATTATTAGATACATACCTGCTGACAGGTCGACTAGGATTCTCAGGTGATTCCGACGAATTTTTCATAGTTGAAAATCCATCATCCGCATTAAATGATGCTGCGTTACCTATGCAAACGTGATAATCTATTAAAAACATAACAGATAATAACTTTGTTAAAAAGAAAAGAAAATACAGTAAATATTACCAGAGGGGAACAGTATAGTGTGTTTCAATAAGTCACCGCTAATGAATGGAGACAAACTATCATCATCATCCGGCAGCATGTGGTTGATCGAATCTGTACCTATAGATTCAACCATTTCCAACCATTGCTGGTTATGCGATCGAAACTTCTCTACCTTTATACGCGCTGCCCAATTCTTGTCGCATATCTATAGAATAATTGAAATAATTGATATTACTTCTTAATTGATACTATGCAAATTATTTTCGCATTGTTTACAAAAAAAGAAAATCTACTTACAGCAATGACATCTAAACATGTATCACAGACTTTTCTGATTGCAGGATTTTTGTCATGCATTAGATCGATTAGATATCCAGGAGCTTCTGCAAATAATATCATAACTTTATATAATTTATATAATTCTTGTGAAAAATTTAAAATATTTGACAAAAATACTATTTCGTGTTATTTTGCAATATTTAAATTTTCACAAGAATAAATTATATAAAGTAGATCCAACTGAAAAAGTTGATTATATATTACCATTACCAGTCTCGCGAATCAAATAATCTCGGGTTGAATCATGTTTTGCTATTTGATAAAAACATAAATAATTTGCAAAACCATCTCATCATCTTCTTGTTTGGCTGTAATGATATTTCTTGATGAGAACAATGCTTGTTTTATGTACACGTAAAAATACAGTTTTCTGGTACCCATTTGCTCATACATACCTTTAAGAAGTTCAATAAGAGAGAGAAGTATATCAGCCTTACATAACAAACGAGCACAATCTTCGTCAAAAGCTGCAGTACCCAAGAATATAACAATCTCGAGAACTATATCATCTTGTGCCTTACCTGCAAAAACGGCAATGTAATAAAAGTAAAATTAATGTTGTCCTGATTATTGATATTAAATTGATATTAAATACAGAAAAAATAAAAAAGGAAGAGATCATACCTGGAACTAGATTATTGCGTATCCATGGTATAAGATTACAACGTTGAATGATTTGAGAGTAATCCAAATCAGGCAATTCCAAATTGCCCAACACGCCAATTACTTCTAATACAAAGTCTTGAGAATCAGACTGAGTCAAGGCCATAGCAAAATCACCCACGAATTCCTATTAAATATAAATGAGTCAACCTCAAATGATGTTTATTATATTATTATATCGATATTTATTATATTGATCTTCATGCTTAATGCTTCAACTCACGACAAAATTTTCTTTTGTTGAATCATGTTGAGAAATATTTCTTATCATCTTCATTACAAGGGCATCTTGATTTCTGAATGCAACTTTTATGAGACCTTGTAAACGATTGTTTTCTACCATCAGTTGTGCATTTTTGTTGTTAATAGCTAAATTTATGCCAAGTGCTATTAACTCAGACCTTACATGTTCATCGTCAGAATTTAATATCATGTTTATTATCTAGACAGAACAAATATAAAATATAACATTTCAAATTTGCATAAAATTTCGTAAATTCTCACATACCATTGGAATGCAATCTGTATTTGTAAACATTGCTTTTACTTTATCATCCATACTAGCGTGATAGAGTAACCCCAGAATTGTACTCTTATTTTTTATGTCAGCTGTAAACATAATAATGTGATAATTTTGATAAGAATTTTCGTTTTATATACAGAATTCATAATTTTCAATAAAAAAAATATACTCATTTTATATATACTTTTATATATTTTGTATACTTTTATATACTCGTTTTGTCTTAAATGCAAACTTTACCTTGACTAAGTAATTTTATCCATTTCGGTAACATACCCACTCTAATCATTCTCGCTCTCAGTTTAGCATCAAAAGAAAGATTAAACAATAATTTTAAAGTGCTCAATATAAGATCAGCATTATTGTTTTGTAAAAGCCTTGGTAATTTGTCTATAATATTTTCTTCCGCCTGCAAATATAACATATATAAATTTTAACATATATAAATTTTAACATATATAAATTTTAACATATATAAATTTATATTTTATTACATTATATAATTTATACTTTTCATATATTTTTATAAAATTTCATGTTCAGCATTACCATGAGATCTTTGTTTTCACGAAAGATGGATAATTTCTTCAGAAATGTAACTACCAAAATCAATAAATCAGTATTCGTCCTGTCTAATGTTTTAATCAGCATACCGATAACATTCTTTTTACGCATTTTTCTTTCGACTTCCATAGCATTTTCAGCGATATTTAAAAGCAGATAAAATGCAACTCGTAGCAGCTGTTCTTGCTTTTTTGTTAAACTCTTAAATTTCTTGCGACTCTTCTCGAGTTCCTCTTTCAACTTCTTAACATCGCTCTCGGATACAATTACAGATATCTCCGCAGATCGTCTTTTAACTTCATAATCTAATGGACCCTCCATATTCCAAATGTCATCAATGATTCTAATCTTTTTATCACAGTTGTCATTATTTCCTGCTGGAAAAAATGTTAAACCAGTAGTGTTCTCAAATTGTTTCCGACGTTTTTCCATGTCCTCTTTCCATTGGTCATAGCGACGTAATTCAAAATCAATTATATCCATACAAAGAGACCCAATCTGAAATAAATCATAAATGAAATATGAAACAAATATAAATCTTAGAACTATTTGATTCTCTAAGTTTCATAGATATTTGCAACTTACTCTATACTCAAGTACGATGTTATGAAACTGGCTGTATGTTGAGAAGCAAAAAAAGATGTAAATAATGTTCGTAGACAATTCTATGCTGCGCCGCCAATCTTCTCTTAAGACTCGAGCTAATGCACTTAATAATGATTCTGTATGAAAAAATAATTTCGTTGTAACATTATTATAGAATTTTATCAATATAAAAAAATAAAATATTTTCAGCAATATGTAATATTCTTACTGCAATCATAAATTATTATAATTATCATTCAGAATTATATTATTTACAGAAATATGGAATATATAACAAATATCACCATTTTTTGTCAATTCCAAAAGATTATCAGGTACCCTTGCTAATTGTAAAATTAACGATGAACCTTTGATTTTGCCTGGTATTTCCTCATACAATAATTCAATATAACTGTCAACATTACTAATGACTGCACGTTCAACTTCACTATTTTCTGTAGTCACTGAATTTGATGATGCTGGTCTTGGAGGATGAGAATTATTATCACTACCTATAAAAATTTGATATTTAATAAACTCTTAAGATTCCAAGACATAAAAACCATATTATATTACCTGTGCTAGTATCGTTTGTCCGACGATTTTGTAGATAATAAATTAATTGTTCAACCTCACGCAGCTTGGATTCGTGTATTAACGAACACTTCTCTATTACCTCTTTGGCCAAAAGAGAGACATTTGTATCTGCATTCAAACTCTTCAATCGAATTATTTTCTGGCATTCCTGCAAAGATGACAATAATTTAAGTCTTAAAAATTAATTCTTTTGTACTTTACATAAATAAAATAAAAAACATGACAAATAAATATTCAATAATATTCGATTAAAGCATTAAAAACAAGCAAAAAGATATTATATAAATATAAAAAAATATACCTTGCGATCGCCAAGCATAGGGTCTCCCAGTTCTCCTAATATTAGTGCTTCAACGTCATAATTTACTACTAGAGCCTTCTCTGTTGGGTGGACATCCAATGTTCCAGATCTTACTTTCCTAAACAATGATATAAAAATTATACAAATTTTTAATTTAATTCGCGAGATATTTTTAATATTTGTACGAGATTCGCATAACTCGTCTTGCAAATGTTTGGAAAACATAACGAAGAATCTGCGCAAAAATCACGTTTGACGAATGACTGATAGTGTTTAACAGATGCGAAGATGACCGTCTTTTCTTACCTTTTTAGAAATTTAGCTTCGTCCATTTTACCGCTTGCTAATTTCGTTGAATTCCTTGACTAGAATATGTTCCTGTCGTATGTACGCTCCGCGTACAACGCGGATCCCCTCTTTGTCAATTTATTTGCAGTTACTTCATCTCCATGGAGAAAGACACCCGTCAGAGTAGAGGCAAGACCATAGACAATGTCATAAACTATAGATTGCGCGTTCGAGTGAAATGAACATAATGACAGAATTCAAGTGCTGTTTATACATATTTTCATACAAAAATTCCTAGGAAGAACTATCAACATCAAACTAGTGACATATAAAA